ACAAAATGTCAGTAATCAGAACATTATATCACTGAGAAAACATGATAACAGAAGAAAGAGACCGTAAACAAGAGGACAAACCCATACAACATGCTTTAAAGACCTGCGGATACCCAACATGGGCAATAAATGAAGGAAAACAACAAACAACAACAGAAAGAAAAGAACAACCAAAGCAAATAACCAGAAACCAAGGAATACAGGAACCAAATCCAGTGATAACCCTACCATACATCAAAGGCATAACAAAAAAAAAAAAAAAGAGCAACAATGAAAAAACACAACATAAACACACCAACAAAACCATACACAACAGTTAGAAACAGACTAGTACACCCAAAAGACAAGATACCAGCTGGACTTAAATGTGGAGTCGTTTACGAAATCCCATGCAAACTCTGCAATAAAACATACATAGGAGAAACCGGACACCAACTCAACGCACAAACAATAGAACATAGAAAGGAGTGCGAGAGAGAAATAAGTCAAAAACACACAAGAACAGCAAAACCAGAAGCAAAAAGTACAATAAAGAAGTCAGCCGTAACGGATCACTGCATTAGAGAAAACCACATAATGGACTGGGACAAAACAAGGATCATAAACACCGAACAACACAAATACAAAAGATGGATAAAAAAAGCTATAGAAATAAGGAGATGTGGATGCGGGTCTATGAACAGAGATGATGGGGTTTACACATTGGATCTTGCATAGGACTGCATCATCAGAGAAGGGAGGACAGGCAGCAGAGAGCGACAATGTCCTCTGCTGCCCGCGGATAAACGTAGTATGAAGTAACGCCATGATCAGCATCAGCTCTGAGGATGTTTTGCAGTCGGCAAACAAAACTGTCAGCAAGGTAAAGAGAAACCTTTCCTGTGTTTTAAAAAGAACCAAAAATGGAATTAGAAACTAGCCACAGTAGGAACATAGATATTAGGAACACCTGTTCAACTTCTCCCTCATGCAATTACCTAATCAACCAATCACATGGCAGTTGCTTCAATGCATTTAGGGGTGTGGTCCTGGTCAAGACAATCTCCTGAACTCCAAACAGAATGTCCAAATGGGAAAGAAAGGTTATTTAAGCAATTTTGAGCGTGGCATGGTTGTTGGTGCCAGACGAGCCGGTCTGAGTATTTCACAATCTGCTCAGTTATTGGGATTTTCACACACAACCATTTCTAGGGTCTACAAAGAATGATGTGAAAAGGGAAAACATCCAGCATGGGTGAAAATGTCTTGCTGATGCTAGAGGTCAGAGGAGAATGGGCCGACTGATTCAAGCTGATAGAAGAGCAACTTTGACTGAAATAACTACTTGTTACAACCGAGGAATGCATCAAAGCATTTGTGAAGCCACAACACACACAACCTTGAGGCGGATGGACTACAACAACAGAAGACCCCACCGGGTTCCACTCGTCTCCACTACAAATAGGAAAAAGAGGCTACAATTTGTATGAGCTCACCAAAATTGGACAGTTGAAGACTGGAAAAATGTTGCCTGGTCTGATGAGTCTCGATTTCCGTTGAGACATTCAAATGGTAGAGTCAGAATTTGGCGTAAACAGAATAAGAACATGGATCCATCATGCTTTGTTACCACTGTACAGGCTGGTGGTGGTGGTGTAATGGTGTGGGGGATGTTTTATTGGCACACTTTAGGCCCCTTAGTGCCAACTGGGCATCGTTTAAATGCCAAGGGCTACCTGAGCAGTGTTTCTGACCATAAAGCTCCAATCATTTCAAATTGGTTTCTTGAACATGACAATGAGTTCACTGTACTACAATGGACTCCCCAGTCACCAGATCTCAACCCGATAGAGCATCTTTGGGATGTGGTGGAACGGGAGCTTCGTGCCCTGGATGTGCATCCCTCAAATCTACATCAACTGCAAGAAGCTATCCTATCAATATGGGCCAACATTTCTAAAGAATGCTCCCAGCACCTTGTGGAATCTTTGCCACGTAGAAATAAAGCAGTTCTGAAGGTGAAATGGGGTCAAACACCGCATTAGTATGGTGTTCCTAACAATCCTTTAGGTGAGTGTATGTTGTTGAGCTTTGGATAGTGACTGAAAGAATGAGATCACAGATACACGCGGCTGAAAATACTTTCCTCTGAAGGGTGTCTGGAGTCTCCCTTAGAGATAGGGTGAAAAGCTTGGTCATCCAGGAGGGACTTGAATTAAATCTGCTGCTCCTCCACATCTTTAGAAGCCATTTGAGGTGGCTTGGGCATCTAATTGATGACTCCCTCAAGACCCAGAACATGCTGGAAGGACAATTAGGGCTTCCACACTAGCACTAGTTCTACCCTGCCTAGATAGGGTAGCCTGGATTTTTTCTACGCATTTTTTCTACGCATTTTTTCTTTTTTTTCAGCCTTCTTCCCAAGGCGGTCTGCTGTGTGCTGAACTGGGTCAACACACCCACTGCCGACTGATTAGCTGGCACATATTCAACCTTACTATTAGAGTTTCTTATCATTCTGGATACTGTGGAGTAAACATGTCTCTGTCTGAAGCTCTCTCTCTCTCTCTCTCTCTCTCTCTCTCTCTCTCTCTCTCTCTCTCTCTCTCTCTCTGAGAAGCACACACACACTGCCGGCGCAGCCAGGCTTGAGCTGCACCAGGACAGACACAGCAGAGCGGGATCCAATATCAGAGTTAGAATCTCCAAAAGGAACACTGCTCATGGCCACCTTTGTTTAGTTTAAGGGAGACACCGCAGATATTTCCACACATCTTTTGCCCCGCCCACATGCTTGAAATATGCTCATGACATCACTGATATTTTTGTGCCAATTTTTCACCCTAATTTTGGAGACTGGCCATTTGCTCAGTCACGTCTGCATTCCTGGAAGTGTGGAAAGATGTGTGTAAGCAACCCGACCAGGCTGGGACTGACTGTGTGGAGTAGAATCGGCCTTGGTGTGGAAGGGTCTCATGTTCCTTGTCTATTCTAGGAACTCATTGGGATTCAAGTCCAGTCATCTCTTCTTAGGCTACTGCCCGTGAATAAAATTGCATTTTATAAAATATGTACACACAGTGTGAAAAAACACATAAAATTCTCTAATGTAATTGTCTGCTAAAGTTTAATTAAACTTTATTTATCCTGATATGCAAACCACAAAAAACTGAAAGAGGTAATGTCCTCCTGAGGACACACACACACACACACACACACACACACACACGAGAAATACATCTGCTAAAAGGTAATAACTGTAACAGCTGTTCAATTAGGACACACTTTGTATATAGGATAAAATAATAAAGAATTGTCCCTACAACTGGGTGACCAACTATCATGCTTGTGTTGCTTCATTATTTAAAAGTCGATTTAAAATTACTGGTGGCCCTGGAACGGCTCATAACCATCACTTATGAAGAAAATAAGTCTTTTGTTGCTCATTCAAAACACACCAGAAATTGCAACCCCTCATTATCCTTATTCATATCTTCTTCATCCATTTGTGGCTGAAGAATTGTTGTTAGCATAATGGGATGTTCTCATTTATGACACTTATGACAAATCAATCAAAATAAAATTACTCACCAAAATCTCTATGAATTCTATGACTCCTTGTGTCACAAATTTGGTTTGTATTTTTGTTTTACAGAAACATTTCAGTACCAGCAAAGCGAGTTAAACATGTAAAACCCCTCAAGATTATTCTCTGTAACATACTTTACATCTTGTCTCATCCCTTAAACATCTAACGGTGTGTTTTGTGGGTGCATCGCCACCTAAAATAATTTGTTATTTCAGTTTAAACTGGAACTAAATTCAACGTTGCAACAAAATGTATCCAAGTAAGATCGAATATCTGAAGCTGACTCAACAGAAACACATTTATGAGCCTCTGATGTACACAGAAGTGCTGTTGGAGAAAGCAACTGATGACAAGTAGTTCATGAGTTCTAATAGTGGCTGAGTCAATTATGCTGTGACCTTAAAGCTTACATGTGTTAACACTAATGGAATCACACGAGGTAGTATGAGTGTGTAAGTGTACTTCGTGTATCCCTAATGAGCAGGTTGTTGATACAGCATCTCCTTGTGTGTGTGGTGGAGGTAGAGATTGCTATTTTATTACACCCTGGTCCAAAAGGGGTGCTAGTGACAGCACGGCAACTGGCTAGTCAATAGTGCAAATTATTTTAGAAAAAAAAAAGCATTTTTATTTCATTAGAAAAGCTTTGGCTGAAAACTATTTCTTGTATTTGTTTTGTTTGTTCTATTTTTCAATCTATTTGGGGAATATTAATTTTATAATTTCATTTCTAACATAAAACATTTTGTGCAATAAGAAGAGAAAAAATGATCATGATGTCAGGTATACTAAAAAAAAGGGTTGTTTTAATTTGAAAGCTAGACGAGGTGTTCAGACACGAGTCTCTGTCCTATTTGACTAATGGACAGTACCGACCCCCTTCTTGCACAGGCAAAGTACTTCCCTAAGGCTGTGCCGCCTTTTTATAATCATATCCTTTTTTAACACATTATATTCTCCAGGAGTGTTAAGTCACTGCCTCAGGCGGGCAGGAAAAAAGGAAAGAGCTGTAAAAAAAAATGGAGAAAAGGATCTGAGATATGGAGGCGCTCAGACACTAAAAAGAGGAAGAAACAAACAGCAGCGGGGATGCATTTCTTGTCGCCTGTGGTGACTTTGTCACTGGAACATACTAATGAAACAGATCGTTTATCCAGGGAGGTTCTGTAATTTTCTAGCTGACAGCAATTAGGAAGGGGCTCGTTAAAGTGTCGCCCTTATTAGGTTACAGACCTCTCACTGTAGCAGCGACTACACGGTCTAAACGCCTTCTAAGCTCTCAGGCAGGATCCAATATTGGTGGATGCCCATGGTGACTGCTGATGGGTACCATATGCCACAGTAATTACTGAGCCTTGGTCTTAGGGTTGTGAGAGCTTCTCATTTAGTTCCTTTTTAGTCAGGTTAATTGGCTCATTATCAGACTACTCACCTTTTTATGCAGGCCTGCTGAGATGTTAGAGATGCCAGTGGCGCTCCACGAGGTTCTCACTAACCCTGGCCAGTGGACGTGCAGGACAAGAGGAGAACGAGGCTGACAACTGTTTATCCAGCAGCAGATCAGATGCCAGCTTGTTCCTCTTCTGGGTCCAGGTTTGTTCGGATCTGTCCAGAAGGGGACTCCTCCAGTCCAGATTTCCGGTGTACTTTAGACATCCAATTCTAATTAAGAGGTGTCAGCATCAAGTCATGGTTCAGAACCAGTTTAGAACTCCGAGGAACAGTGAAAGATGTGTTATTCAGATTTGATTAATAGAGTGAAATCACACAGTCAGCTTTTTAAGAGTCTTAAGTGTACGATGTGCTCATATTATTTTCTTGGATTTGACTCCATTTTTGTCCAGTCTATTACAAAGTCCAGTCTACTAGAGTGGTTCTCTCATGGATCCAGCATCTCCTGTGTTGCTTAGCCATTCGTTTTATGTTTTCACCGTCCACTCAGTGTCTCTCCTCGTCTCTTGCTGCTGCCCCAGATAGAGATTTAGTTTTTCTTCCATGGTAACGCATTATTTCTCTGCTGGTGTTGCTTTTCAGCTAAATGGTTGTTGTCCCAGTCTTCCACATCCACACTGATACAGATGCCTCTACGTGGAAGATGCTTTTCCATCGTTAGTGATTAGGATGACCACAGCCTCACCAAGCCTTGACTGGGTAGTTTAATCCAGATGGGTGAAACCAGGATAAGCACTTGAAAATAAGATCTGACTTTATAGGTTTATAACACCATAATATTCATAGAAACAAAGCAATGGGTGCAGGAAACAGGAGATGCAGGGAGATGAGCAAGACAGCCTTTTTTTATTTTTCCTTTTTTTTTTTCTTGAGACAGTTCAACAGCGTTTTCCCCTCTGGTTACGTTGATCTTCCACATCTGCCACAACAGCAGCATCAAGGATCTAGAAAACAGGAACAGAGAGAGAGAGAGAGAGAGAGAGAGAGAGAGAGAGAGAGAGAGAGAGAGAGAGAGAGAGAGAGAGAGAGAGAGAGAGAGAGAGAGAGAGAATACCATATCAATGGTTGAATGTTGGGAGGACGACGTTCATTTAGGAGCAAGAACAACAAGGATATTAGTACTTAAAGGTAAAAGGAGGCATAAAAAAACATTCAAGGCAGTAATAAAAATGAGAGGAATTAAAAAGGCTTTGACATATTTTTATCTTTCCCATTGGCTTGATTTAAGAAAAAAATCCCTGGAGACATCAATTTATTTTTTATTTTTGGTTTCCCCTTACCGTAAAAGCAAGGGAGGCTTCTATTCCTGAGGAAACCCACTTTTATTAACTCCCGAGGGAAGAAGGAGCACAACTAAATAATTTGAAATGGAGCAGCAAATGTATTTTTTTAAACTTTGTGCCAAAATCAGACTTTGCTTGAAGCAAGAAGTGACAAGGATAAGGCTGACAACTCAGTTCTTTGTCTCCAGAGATATTTAATGCCAAAGAAAAATCAGATTTGCATTTGCTTAATTTGATTCAGCAAAAGATGCTAAATTAAATCAGATAATTCAAAAATGTAATATATCAGATTTAAATATTTCAGAATATTTTAGAGTCTAACAGCTGCCTTGTCTTTTTATAAATGGCAGCTGTGTGTAACTGTATAAATATATGGGTCTCGCCTTACGTTTTTGAGGAGATTAATATTTGTTTTAAATAAGGAAGATTTATCAATTCAACCTTCTTTGCAGCTGCATCTAGAGGTTTAGAGAACGACACATTTAATGGACTTTTCCACAAATGTTACTGCTTCACTATGTTTAGATGTTTTGCCGCTTTTTTGTGGTGCATTAAAATATATTTACAAAGGTATTGATAGCAAATATTTTCAAGATTTCTACAATTTATCGTGAAATGCTGTTGTTAACTGAGTCCTGATTGATACAGCCACTTGTTGGATAATCAGTGCTTAGAGTTTGAAAGAATTGTGTTTTTTTTTTCTTTTTTTTACCCGCCTCTCGAGGGTTCTTAGTCAGAAGAATTTCTGGGGAGTTTTCTGGTCATGGGCACAAGATTTTGACGTTTTATTGCCTGAGTCTCTCAATTATAACTACAGTCTTCTGGCACACTGATCTATGATCCTGGAAACAGAACAGTTCTTGGGTAGATGGAAGGTGTTCGTCTCGGAGGATGTCCAGGTTCCAGTTTTAATTTATGCTGATGTTCTGAAGCTGAACCGTCCAATTTCTGCTACTTTTTCTGAACACTTATCTGTAATTGAGGTTTTTTGTTGGAGGGAAGTAGCTTAGCTGCTCTTTTTGACACTAGACTATCTTGCAAAGACTGTCTGTGCAGATGTAAGCTCTGCTCTGCCCAGATCCTAAAGTTGAATCAGCTAGAGGAGAATCCTGAGGCTTGCTGAACTTTTCCAGAATCTTGCAACATTTTTTTTACCAAGTTTATTTTATTGCAATGGCAAAAAACAAATGTATAATTATTGCAATCCATCTTATACCCCTTCGCCGCAGCAGTAAAAGCTGCTACTGGAATTAATGCATGTCAACCACTCCTTGGTGTGTGTGTGTGTGTGTGTGTGTGTGTGTGTGTGTAGAGTCATTCTTTGCAGCCACGACACATCTTTACCATCTTCCCCTCCTTTACTCCCATCTCTTCCTCTCCTCTTTCTCACCATATGGCAGCAGATTAAAGGAGATGGAGAGAATGTAAAAAGTGAAAAGAATGTAAAAAGTGAAAATAGTGTGCAAGATGCAAACGGTGTAAATGGTGAAAGATAAAAGAAAATGGCAAAAAGAAAAGAAAGGAATCCTGATTAAAAAAGCAAAGGGCCAGATGGCAGCATGCTGGACTGGATTAGATAAATACAGGACAGGAGAAGCACGAAAGGATCAGAAGACTTGAGGAGGAAGTGTGCAAGTCATTACTCTTTAAGTGTTGTGTTGGAGCGATAACTGGGAGGGCAGAAGACCTTCAGATCTTAAACTTCCTCCATTCAACACTATGCGGCTGCCTGTCATCAGGTGCTGCTGGAGGCATCCAAAAGTGGCAGATAGAAGAGAGATGAAGCAGGAAGCAGAGCAGGAAAAAGCAAAGAAAACATGGAGAGAAAATAAATGACAGTAAAAAACAATGACTTGAGTGCCGCTGAATGAAGCAAATGCGGAAAAGAGAAAGAGAGAAGAAAAGTCAGGACAGTTAGTAAATAGGTGAAGAAGTAAACAGGGAGGATGTGGAGGAGCTTTGAAAAGACAGAGTTGGGGATGGGGGGGTGGGGGGTGGGTGGGGGTGAGTGGTGGGGGGGGCAATCCTGAGAGCCAAACTCACAGAGACAGGTGGCAGTGAAGAATGAGGTCGGTCATACGAGATGACAATGAAGGGAGTGATGATAGATTAAAATACAAGGAGGACAGACAGGCTACAGGGTCATAAAGGGGCCAGAACACACTCACACTCTCTCACGTACACGCACACACACTTCTACTTCACACACACTCACTCACATCCTTATGCTGTACTATTTTTCTATCCTACCTAACCTTGTGGAAACATCTGTACCTGGCTCAAGAGAGTTAAATTCACAAATGCACACAAAGACCTGCAGGGATTTAGATGCTGACCCAGATATATTTTTTTAACAAATGCCTTCATCTTGAAGGATATGGACTCAAATTTTACAATCAAAGTTGCTCTATACTGAATGCACGTTTTAACCGTGTTTACCTGATGCATCCTGATATAATGTCTTGTAAATCCCAGCATCCTAGAGGATGATTCATATTTCACAAATGTACAGACATTGAAAATGTGCTTAGCTTAGCAATGACTTTGCTAAAAAAAGTCATATGTTGGGGTCAAGTAGACAATCATTCCTGCTAATTCAGCAGGAAATTCCTCCACAAACTGTAGTATTCAGGTAAAAGAGCTGCTTCTAAGGCTATGAACTCATGTATGGTGCTTTTGTCTCCTGGGGTTAAAGCTCCATGGAGGGAAAGGCTGGATTATCGTTAGTGGTGGAGAAAATGCTGCAATCTTTCCACCATTTTTCTCAAAACGTTACAATTTTTAAACACACGAACACTTAAGAACAATACTGGATGTTATATAATTTTCTTGCTCATTATGTGGTGGCAGTAATTGTTATTTCACATTACAAAGAGTGAACAACCTTAAAATGTACCCAATAATTGATGAATGTATAATAGATATTTTATAGGCTCATTTAACCCTCTCAGGCTCAAATTAAGTTTTGATAAAAGGATGAACAAATAAGTCCTTCAGGGGTACCTCTGAGTTAGAAAATGCTCATGAAATACATATGTGGAGTAACCAGGTAGGTAGGTTTTAACTGCTGCAAATCTGCAACGCCTGCCTCCAGAGGGTTAAATATATAAATGACAGGGAAACCTAACATGTGTTATAAATGTTAGACCCCACCCGTGCCACTCCAGCTATGTTTTCTGAACACATTATTGGCTCAGCTAATTAAAAAAGTAAAAGGGTACTCTGCAATTTATACAAGTGTAATAAAATACTAAGTGGCAACGTTAGGGGTGAAATCAGAATATAAGACAAATTAAAAAAAATGATAAAATTGGCTTCATTGGTGTTGTGGCTTCAATAGATTTTTGGCATTTGTAATTCAGGGTTATCTGGATTACAAATGGAACATTCAATATCCACTTTGAAAATTGATTCAAGGAGTCTTTAATTACTTCCACCATTAATGCCATTTATATGTTGGTGTGAGGTGGAAAAGAGAAAATGTTTGATTCTGACAACAGCCAGGGTAGTGCAGACAAGGTCTTGGCATCTTTTAGTGTCCAGTATGCTTTGTTTTGTTGTAGTTGGACATTTGTTTGATGTGCAAGGTAAAAAAGGCAGAAAAAAACATTGTTCTTGCATTGAAACAGCAGCCTTTTTCTTGTTGTTTTCTCTTCCCTCCATTACAATTTCACAGTGACACCTGTTTGCATGTCTACATAATAATTAGACACCTTAGACACAAAACAAGCAGCAATCATTTCTGAGCGTCCATGCAGCTAAACAGCTAAATGGGCCTTTGGCAAAGAGAAAGTTTGTGTTTTAACCCTCTGATGGCTTTTCTTAACATTAAGTAGTTCAAAATAAAAAAGTAATATTTTTTCATAAGTAATAACAATAGTAGTAGTAATAATAATATTTAAAATATGTTTTTGAAGCCAGATCTCAATGAAAACAACTCTATGGACATTTCAGTGTAAAAAGCCAACGCAGGGTTTGCAGGTTAAAAATGAGACCAGGCATGTTGCAGAAATTGTCAGCGCTCCAAATGAAACGGACAAAATAACTAGTAGATGAATTACCACGGTTTAAAATCCAGTGGTGTTTTGGTGCAACAGCAAAAATGAGCATCTAAGTTAGTGCTTCCTCACTTAATCACTATTGGTTTGATCCAGGGGAATGAAAGTGGGTTTTGTCTCATTTTTATCTTTAGAGACACCCATAGCCACGAGGCGTTGTTGCTCAACATGCCTTTTAAAAAAAAAGTCACTTGTTCTTGCAAAACAACAGTTTAAATTGATACACAGAAACAACAAAAAGAAAGTTTACAGAATGATAATTAAATGGTTTGTTTTTCATGTTTGGTCACACTTTGTCCTCCAGGCTCAGAAGAGCTGCGGCTTTCTCTCCGATCAGATCAATGTTGTCTCTTTCTGCAATGCAGCAGTCGGTGAAACATCACAGACACGGCTACGCCTAGAGCAACCCCAACAGTTTTTTCTACACGCGCACAGAGAGAGAGGACAGAATCGAGGTTTGTTCTTCGCTGCAGGTTGCCCCTGAGTACAAATGATCCCAAATCAGAGGACAGAAACACACAACATGGAAGACCAATGGTGGCTTTCCTCTTTCTTTGTGTTTGTCTCAGGAGAAAACATCAGACTGTGTGCTATTTGGGAGCT